ATAGTATATAGTATATATATAGTATATAGTATATATATATATATATATAGTATATAGTATATATATAGTATATAGTATATATATATATATATAATGTATAGTATATATATTATATACTTGTGTTTCCACACTCTCTTGTTGTTGGGAATCAAGCTCAACTGGACCTGGTTTACAGGAGCTGCCATGCTGTAGTTTTGGAACCAGAGCCTGTGCACTAATGATTTGGGGCTTTTTTGTTACTGGCTTTAAAGCAAATGTTGATAACTTGCAAAAAGAGACAAAAAGCAAGGTTTTATGTTTGCCATTTTTTGTATAAATCTTTCTTTCTTTGTTTTTGTTTGTGATACTTAACTGAGTAAGACATCCTTAAAGTGTTCCTGAGCTCTTAACACAGTGAACCATATTACCCCAACTCAGGTGTCGTATCCACGGAAAGGACGTGGTGACATGAAAACCCACCTAGACAGGCCGCTGGTGGTGAACCCACAGGACAATCGAAACAACAACACCAACAAGACTCAACCTGGTGAGCTGCCTCTGGACCAGCAGTATCGGCGCCAGGACGTTGACCACTGCCGCCGTGCTGCTCACCACTGCCACCTCCACCACCGTCACCATCAGAAAGTCTCTGCCAGAGAAACCGGAGATGCACCTCAGCAAACAGAGACTCACATGGAGCATGGTTTCAGTTGCACGTCTCTGGGCAATATGGAAGGGAGCGCCGAGCGGCGCCAGGACGAGGAGAAGCACAGCCATCGGAGCCACCGAGGCCACCGGCACAGAAACAGGGAACACAGGGAGTCATGCAGCAACTCCCCTCATCGTAGCGAGGGAGGAGAGGGGAACAACGAGCAGAGACGGTCCAGACAGCATCGCAGGTCAGCCAGGGAGGGGGAGGAGGGAAGAAGACACCAATGTGGGGGGGCAGAAGGAGAGGTGGAGAAAAGTGAAGAAGAGGGAGGACGAAAGACTAGACGGCATCGCCATGGGAACCAGGAAAGATGTCGAGGCCATCGCAGCAGAAAGTATGTATAGAAAATCCTCCAGCATAATAAGTGACAACCAGGCAAGTAGTTTGTTTTTGTCTAAACTAACAGTTTTAGACAAATACAGCGTTCCTGCCTGTTGATTCAATGCAAACATCTATTGACAAAATAATTTACTATTTTCATGCCATATTAGATTTATGGCTTATATATATATCTATCTTTAATAAACTGGTAGGACATGCAAACGGATTTAGTAAAACTTAATTTTGATTTACTGTCTTCATAAAAAAAAACAGCAAAAACATTTTCTTTTATCTAGTGTCTATTTCATTGCTTCTTCTCCTTTGTCACTTATGTTCCCATCTTTTGTCATTTTATTTTATTAACTGCCATGACCCCCCCCCCCCCCCCCCCCCCCGTTTTTTCTCTGTATCTTGACCATTTGTTTTCTGCCATCAGGGAGCACTGCAGCGCCGGCCCTAGCCTCTCTACTACACGACCCATACAGCAGTATAACGAGGACCTTGACAACTTCCGCAACAACAGCAAGCTGGCCAGTGCTCATGAGCACCCTTACACCCTCCCACCTGACCACCCCGACCATCCTACCCACCTGAACAACCTGCTGAACTACCACGACACTGACACCCACACCCTGCTCCACAGCATGGACAGCCTGATCCTGACCAGCATGGCTAAACCCGACTACACAACAATAGACATGCCCCCTGTCTACCCGTACCCCTCTACTAATGCCATCTTGCAAGGTGAGCACCATGATGGTCTTATGTAATAAAATAGTAAGTGTACACATTTTGACACCATATATATATATATATATATATATATATATATATATATATCTATATATATATAAATAATTTTGTTTTTTTTTTTTTTTTTTTTTCCATTCAACTTTTATTTATACAGATTAATCACACTGAGCCTCGGGGACTCATTTACAAGTGAGACCTGTTTATGATCAGGATTTGCTAGAAAGTTTAAATGTTAGGTGACATCGAGTTCCTGTTGCTAATCACTAAATTTAGATTTTTTTTTCTGATCAAATTTTGTTAAAAGCTTAAATGTATCATCCAAATTTATCTTATAAAAATTCTATAATAAACTAAAGATGTTCAGTTATCTTTGTGCATTGTTTCTATGGTTACCAAAAGGTTTTCAAAAAAAATTCAAAACTGTATGCATGTATTTATGTATATATTGAATCACTACTTTGATTGAATTTGCATGTAAACTTAGGGACAGCACTGGATACGCAATTACTTCTTTCTGCTCCCTTTTTGTAACATTTTTGTTTTGCTTACTGAATATTTTAGTGGAAATACTGTATTTATGTTTTTTTGTTTTGTTGAAATTTAGCTGTTTGAAATGAAATAATCAAAAAAAAAAAACTCTACAGTAGAGCTGTACTGTTTAGCATTATATAAAAGTATTGTTCAGTCCAGGTTTGTTTTCAGAACAGTCCAGGTGAAGTCATCTCTTATGTTTTCCAGGGTGAATCTGGCCTCTTTCTGTCAGTCTGTCTCTTGTTTATCCTTTTGTCTTTCCTTTTTTGTTGTGCTCAGTGAACAAGAACGCCAACACTGACCAGAAGAAGAGCGAGGAAAAGGAGGGCGAGGACGAGGGTGAAGATGAAGATGGCCCTAAACGCATGCCTCCCTTTAGTTCCTGCTTCATATTGTCTACCACAAACCCGTGAGTTTATACATTAGTATGTGTGAGTGCAACATCCGGGTCAAACTTAAAACATTGAGTCTTAAGAGTCATGATTTTTTCTTTTAAGTTTTTTTTTTTTCTTGAGCAGGAAAACTGCTTAGTGTTTTGTGAACTACTTTGTGTGAACATGTGCATTTGTGTGTTTGCATCAGGTTTCGAAGGTGCTGTCACTATATCTTGACTCTGAAGTATTTTGAGTTCAGCATCCTGTCTGTCATCGCTATGAGCAGTATTGCCCTCGCTGCAGAGGACCCTGTCAAGCCGGACTCACCCCGAAACAATGTGAGACATTACTCTGTGTGTGTGTGTGTGTGTGTGTGTGTGCTGTTTCCTATCATCTATGTGGGTGAGCACAATAAATGAAATGTCTCACAAAAACATATCAATTAAAGCCTTTCTAATGAGCTCCTGTGACCCTATTTAAATGTTTCTTTTTCTAAAAGAAATACAGTAGTCCCTCGTTTACGGTGGGAGTTATGTTCCAGACCCCGCCCCCTCCCCGCAATAAGTGAAAAACCGCGAAGTAGGGGCATTATATTATTTTAGTATTTATATATATATTCTAAGACTTTATAAACCCTTCCCACACTCTTGCAATGTTCTAAACTCTTAAACATAGGTAATTTTAACAACATACAGTACATATATGTACTGCACAGTAGATACGTACTGCAAAATTTTATATGGGTACTAACCAACTGGAAGTCCAGTTCTGGTTTTGATCAGCTCTCTGCAGCCGTTGAACACCAAGACATTTTTAAAGAGAGCCGGACCTTCGGATAGCCAGCACAAAACCACACAATGGTCCCAATTGAGTCCAAATCTGGATGAAAAAAGTCCCGTTGAGCTCCGGAGAAAACACCAGACCTCCAAGTAACGCCTTCCTGCTCAAGAGGCTCATGGGCCGGAAGGCAGCACTCAGACTGACCAATGAGGTTGGAAGTCCGATTCCCGGTCGGTTTCCTTACGGCTCTCTGCGTCCACTGAAGTCACTGTGAATAAAAAGCAAACTTTTTCGAATCGGATCACAACTTGCCCTCCATTTCAGCCAAAAACAACGTCTGGAAGCCCCGTTGGCTTCTGGGTAATGTAGTCCTTTTGAGTGGCGATACAGTGTAGGCTTATTGAGAGAACACTACAAAATGGCACCTGTCTGGAGTTTTTTTTGTTTGTTTTTGTTTTGTTAACGTTGTACTGTATGCTGTACTGTCCCAATCACGTGAGTAATGTTAAAGCTGACACTGTTTGTCATGTACAATCTTACTTTGAAAAACTGCAAAAGTCGAACCGTAAAGTAGCGAGGGACTACTGTACTCATCACAGACTGCTGTGTTTTACAGCCAGTAATAATCACAACAGAAAAAGGGGTGACTGAAAATTTAAATATGTGTTCCTGATTAATTTAAAATGTGACCATTATGATAAAACGCTCATTGAACTGGTTGAAAGTTTCTGTCCCTGTCATGTGCTCCGTTTTTATTAATCTCTGTGGTTCTTCTCCTGCCTTCTAATTTATTGTATAATAATAACTCATGTTGTGCTCCCTGCAGGTGCTGCGTTATTTTGACTACGTTTTCACAGGTGTCTTCACATTTGAAATGTTGATCAAGGTAACAAAGTATTGGTGTGTTAGTGCAGGACTGGATGTTTGTAGTGACCATGTTAGTATTTTGTTTTTCTTTTTAAAGAGTTGAACTTTACGACGTGCACTCTCATGTGATGGTTTTTGTCTGTGTTAATGCAATAAAACTGGCGTGTTTGTTTTTTGTCGATTTCTTAAGCACAGTGACTTGCATGAGAACGTTCATCTCAGTTATAAATGTGCACGTGTTTGTGTGTACTGTTGTTCTGAACAAGCGTCATGTCTTCCAGATGGTGGTGCTGGGCTTGTTTCTCCACCAGGGATCTTACTTCCGTGACTTGTGGAACATTCTGGACTTTATAGTGGTTAGTGGTGCTCTGGTGGCCTTCGCCTTCACGTAAGTGTCCTTCACCACCCCTTCACCTTCATCATCTTCACCACACACACACATATACACACACACATTCCACTATCCACAGAAAGACCCTGGTTGCCCAGCCTCATACAACTCCGTACACCAGACTCTGCTCTCTGGCTGTACGTCAGAAATCATCACGTCATTATTATTTTTGTTTGTTATACGTTTTCTTTCTCCGTCACACTCACTGTTTTCCATTCTGTTTTATTATCATGTGTCTAAAAGCATTTTTGTCTGTATTATTCTTTGTTTTTCTTATCTGTAGTACTACTATAGTGTTTTAATTTCTTTAGTTTGTATGTGGTTGTTAAGACTTCTTTCCATACATATGGTCATAAGTTTTCCTTTCGCTTATCCATTAACCTCTGTGTTTTGTTACTGGTCATCGTCATTTGTGAAATGTTATCAACAGGTCTTTCTCTGAGGTTCACTACCACCTTCATCTCAATAATCACCCCTGATCCTTTAATTAAATGTATTCCTTCTCATCTAAATCACATCATCTTTGGCCTACACTCTCAAACCTAACGGGTGTCAGGATATTTGATTTTTCTTGATAATCTGTTTGAGACTCTCAGGAGGTACCCTGAGGTTTCCAACCTCGGTGATTATTTGCTCAAAGGTTTTTAAGGATGTCTTTTTACTTGTAAGCAACATATAATGCTGAGAGCCAAATTAGTTTTTAAGAGTGTAGTTCCAACTCTCTTCACCTCCCCTTCCCTCCCTTCCAAAAACCCATAACAGTCATGGAAAACACCCTTTCTGTAACATCATCCCCTTTTACTGTTTGACTACCTATTAGATTAATAATCTCCACTTGCTCCTTATGAACATGTTTCCTCCCAATCTACCTTGCTCCTGTTCCCTTCTTTTCCCTGTTTCCTGACCCATGCCGCTCTGATATTTCCTCCAACCAGGCCGTGAGTCATCCCTTTCTCTTCTTTTGCATCTACATCCCTAAACTTGTCCTTCAAATGCTTTCTTACCAACACTCCTCCCACAGCCTTAGTCTTCCTTACTGATGCATCGTTTCCTCATCAAATTCCTTTTTGTATGTCCTCCTTCATATGAGATCAGTCTTCTCTTTGTCCCTGTCTTACGAGACAAATTCCTCTCACACCCTTCTTATTCCTAACATACAGCAAATTTAGTCATGAGACTAATAGACTTTGAGTTCAAGTCAAGAAGTCTTTACTGTTTTTTTCAGCAGTATACAGCTGTACATAGTAAAACAGGACCATTGTGTTGCATTTAAAACTATATGGACGTTCCAGAATTTAAAAAGAGATGTGCTTTCTTATGATGTAAGACAACAATAGTGCGTCACTAGTGCCTTAGTTTAAACATGTGCTGACATTGCAAGACTATATCAGCATCACCAGACCATGCAGACAGTACATACAGTACTTTGCGAGAAGAGAACGGTGCAAATTTCTTCCAAGTCCCAGGTGCAAAAATGCAGAGAAATGTGCAATAGTGCAGACATTTGCTTAAGTCATGAAATGTAGTCATCTATCTGACTAGTCCCTGAGCATTTACATGTCCAATGGCTTGGAGGAAGAAACTGTTTCTAAGCCTGGCAGTGAGGGCCTAGATCAGGGGTCTGCATCTGCGGCTCTGGAGCCTCTTGCAGCTCTTTGGTCTCTCTGCAGTGGCTCTTTCAAGCTTTGACCAAAACTAACATAAAACGTGTACAAACAACAAAAATGACTAGTTTTAGCTGTTTTCCTGTAATTTATTTTGTAAATACCGGTACTTACTTTTAACATTTTGCTTTACGTATTTCTATACTTTTTTTTTTTTTTTCAAAATTAAAAAATAAAATCGCATAGGTCTGCATAGTTCATACTAGTTGTTGTTGTTTTTTTTGTTTTGTTTTTTGATTGTTTTTTTGTTCCCAGGCCAATCGAGAGACACTAGGTATGTTTACATGAGCATAAGTAATCAGATCAAACGGCCGTTCGGAATAAAAACACGTCATGTAAACGCCCCGTTCGGGTTATTTTTTGTTTAATCAGCGTGATCCGAAATAATTTGTGATCAGAACAAAATGGGTGGTTTACGCCAATTCATAACCTGAACGGTGCGCATGTAAACGCTTGATCTGTTCATTTTTTTCTGATCGTGAAAAACTGACCTGACTGCGCTTGTGCGACTATGTCATTTCCACCTGGCTACTGCTAATAATATTAGCATGTCGGGGAAGTAAACCTGGTCGGTGAGCAACACAACATTTCTACTAGAAACTTTGAAAGAGCTCAAAATGATCTGTATCACCTGCAGCTCAGTCAGGGAGTGCAGAAAACGTCTCCACCGTCATTAAAACCTGTCGCGGGTCCATTTTGGGTGCTCAGGTTTGTTTACGTTCATCCCGGAAGTAAACCGGAAGTAGAACTTCTTCTTCTGTGATTTTGTTAAGGAGAGTTTACCAGTCTGCACAGGTCAATACTTCTGTTCAGAACAAAGCCCGCTGCATGTAAACCTCGTCATGAACAGATTGTGCCCATGTAAACGATATATTTGAATTATTTAATCTGAAAACATTTCAATCCGGTCAAAAAATTTTGCGCGTGTAAACATAGCATTTCCAGCGTGTCCTGGAAAAATGGCTCTTTTGATCATAAAGGTTGCAGACCCCTGGCCTAGATGCTTTTGTACCTCTTCCCTCATGGCAGGATGGTAAATGGTTTGTGTGAAGGGGATCAGGGTTCTCCATGATGTTAGTAGCTTTATCAATGTGCACTAGAGGTCTGCAAGGTGAGGTGAAAGATTCTATCAATTATTTCAGCTTTTCAGCATTTAAGACTTAATGCTGTGCAGTTTCCATACCAGACATTGATGCAACTGCTCAAAACGCTTTAATAGTACCTCTGTAGAAAGTGAGGAGAATGGCTGATGGGAGATGAACTTTAAGTCTTCACAGAAAGCAGAGCTGCTGCTGGGATCCCTTAGTTATGGAGTCAATCTTAAGAGGTTCAAGTGAACTAATTGGTCCTCTTGACAATATCCACAACCCCATCAGTGATTAGTGGAGAGTGGTCGCATTGTTGTCTCCTGAAGTGTATCCACATTAGGTTGTTGACTTTATACCAGGCATTGCACCTTTCTGCATGTTGGCTTGTCAGCTGAGGGAAAAGACATTAGTTGCTCTACGTTCTCATTCATTTCTCTAAAATCAATCATAGCTCCTTCTTTTGCCTCACCAGATTTTTGTGGAATGGAAAACACAACAAATGTCACAACATTACACACATTTATGTTCCAGATCAAAATAAGTAATTAAAATACTGAATGAAATCCAACTTATTATATATATAATTTGTAATGTTAACTTTTTATTTGGCAAACTATTAAAATTGTTTTCTGTTTATTCATCCAGAAGGCAAGTTTTAAATATTAATCATGTGTTAAACTCAAAAATCTTCATAACATGCTAAATACATGTTCAAAATTTGAATTTATGTTTAAAATGTCAACATGAGTGTTCTGATGTCTTTAAATGCATTAGACCTTGTTCATGGTTTAAATAATCAAAAATAGGGTAAGGACGTTTATCAAAATAAGTAAAGGAATACGACTTGTTTGCCTTTTTTCCAAGCTAGAATAAAAATAAGAAAATACTACAGAGTTGTTCCTTTTAATACATTAGGCAGTTTATGCCAGGATTTGTAGTTTGTGCTGTATGTTAGGAACAGAAACAAGGTGCCATTATTTATGTGGTATTCTTTTGCAGTTCCTCTTGACTTTAATTCATTTTTGGTTCAAACACCATCAAACACATTTCATCATCCTACTCACAAAGAACCATTAACCTTGTTTTAACAATCTAGCCACTCTTCCCCATTCATTCTCATTCTCCCCAATGGAGATCTCAGCCAATCAGTTTGTGGGGGTGAGGGCAACTCAGACACCTTTAACCCTTTAAGTGCCCAGGCTATCCATATGCCACAGAGAGGAATGCTGGCAGGACTTCCATCCTCTCTTTTACCCACACTCACTCAAACGCCAACACACACAAACACACAGGTGTGCCATTCTGACTAGGTAACGAGCCTGGAGGAACAGGTATTTAACTCTTCTTCCTTTGCACGACCTGAGAAAGTACAGCAGATGGGAGGGAACGAGGAAGGCATGCTGGGGCAGGGTGTGCTGGGTGGAATGATTTGTCACACTGAGGAAGCATTAAAAAAAAATGAAATAAATTTCTATGATGGGTGCAGTTCAAAAGGATCGGCTGGGTATGTGAGGGACTGAGAAAGACAAGTCTATTGCTGCTTTCTCCTGAACTCCCTAGAAGTGCAATGCATGTCTGCTTTGGTGGCTGCATGAACTTGAACATCACCTGTGATGCATTAGAAGACATCAGGCAAATCTGTGTTAAAGACACTTAGTCAGTTGCGCACATAGAACAAGCTTTAGGTGAATCTACTTGTTGAATCATGACTGTTGTCCGAGTGTTCAGTCCAAATGCAAAGCAAATTTTATGGACAACACATCTGCATGAAACATAATTAAAATAAATAGTGGCCCACAGAAATTTGAGCTTCCTTTAGGATGTATGAGTTAATCAGAATAAGCTTTATTGTCATTGCACAGTTAAGTACAGTGAAATTACGTTACGTTCAGCCGTCCTAAAGATGGACAGAAGTGTACCGAGACTGCAGCCTCTAAGAAGCGCTGCCCTTATTGCTTAGATAGAAGAAGGGAAGACAACATAAGGAGAGTTATAAAAAAAGATCTCTGATACCGTGTCCTTGACAGGTCATGGTTTAAGGTATCAAAAAAATCTACCACAGCAAGCAACGTAGATAGACAAAATACATATTTGGGGGTAGACAGAACAGAGCTTCTTTATTTACATTCATTCAACCTTTATTTAGACAGGTAAATCCCATTGAGCCTCTGGGACTCATTTACAAGAGAGACCTGATTTCAACAAAGAATGATGACAACAATGGACACCAGTGACAACAATAAAC